CGATTTAGCTGTAACTTTATTTTGAAACGCCTCTATATTCATAAAAACGTGGACATTGAACTATGTAACTAATATCCATGATTCTGTAGATAATGTCCACGATTGCGTGATTTTCATTCGTGTTACGTCCACGATTTTGTGGTTTTGTTTTATGCTATCACCGACGAGATACTGTTAAATACCGACAACCGTGGGCAAATTTTCGTATCCACTAATGAGGCCCCGGGGGCCCGGGGATAATTGAAGAATGTTAATATATTCGCATACTATATTTGCATACTATTTTGTAATATGTACATATAGCGATAACTAATTTATTATAACAATTATTTATTGTAACACACATAAGATATGTAAGATGTCTATATATCTAATTTTACAACAAGTCGTAATTAGTCTATTAAGCAAATGCACGATAATAGATTATTCAGAAGGCATTTAAAATGTAACGATTATAACATTATTTAATGTTGAGATATCAAAAGACGTTATAGAGTATTGTATTAATTGTATTAGTTAGATATTATTCGTAATATTGTTGAATATTTCGTTTTTTTCGACACACGTTATAGATACGCGGCTTTCAAAACTGTTTACGTACCGTGGCTGTGGTATGTAAACATACACGGCGCGCAACGCGTGTCGTGTTTACAAGCGCTCCACGTGTTATCATTCTTTATCCGGCATTCGTACGAACAGGTGTATCGCTCCGCGTTTCCTCATTCTTTTATTGTTAAATGATACCAAACGTTGCCGTATTATATAAATATAATAATAAATGACTGAATAATAATAAATAATTAACGCTTGATTAAACGTATTCATAAACGTATCTAAACAATATCTTCTTAATAAATATATGCGCATATGTTTCGCGACTTATTTCTTTGAAATTTATGACTTTTTGTAAACGATGTAACCCCTCCGATGGGTATGGCTTTGACGTGGCGGAGGGACTGAGTATTCCGAGGGGTTTCGATCCCAAAGACGAAGAAGTCAACAGTACCCATTGCATCATTATTGATAATTTAACAATATTAGAAATAATATTTAACTTACACAAAATACTATAGTTTTTAATAATCGAACATTAAATAATATATATAGATATTTCATTAGAGAGTCTCGTTTCGCGATATGCTTGTGAATCGACAACTATTGCGTGTGTTATTAATATATTATTAATAACATTAATATTACCGTTGGATGTTATTAATAATATATTAATAATATATGCAATTGTCGTCGATCTTTAATCAACATTCCACTGCTGATTTAAATGAGTGAATCAACTGCCAAATTAATGATTAACAAGCATATCAAAACGATGCTCTCTAATGAAATATATAAACATGTTATTTAACGTTCGATTACTAAAACATGTAGTTTCGTATAAATTAAATATTATTTGTAATATTGTGAAGTATTTCGTCGTAATCATTGATGGGGCAGGACTTGAAAAATGTTTACGCGGCGCGTAGCGCGCTCCATTGTGTACGTATGGCGAGTCGTGTTTATAAATGGTCGACATGCTACCATTCATTCATCGGCATTCGTACGGACAAGTCGCGGTGCGTGTCGCTCCGCATTTCTTCGCATTTCTTTAAACGTTGTTATATCATACGAAATAAAAATCTCTTGTATAGTAATAAATGCTTATTAACTGATATGATTCACGATTCGTAAACGTAAATGAGAAATGAGAACTCTATAACAAGATTTTATATATATATATATATCTCGTGACTTATTCCTTTGAAATTCATAACTTTTTGTTAAATAATACCCCTCTAATAGATACGGCCTTGACGTGGCAGAGGGGCTCAGTATTTCGAGAGATTATTTAAGTAGTACTATTAATCAGCGAAATGATCTCATTGAGACGTAGTCGGTTATGTTTTCACGCCACGTGCACGTGAGGTACTGGTGATGCTGGCTGTGAATATTACACGCATTCGCTACCGCTTGATGTGTTGTGTTTCGCACAGTTGCAACCTGCATTAAACGGCTGATTGAAAACACGCTTGTCTTCGACAAGTGATTCGGTTCCAATCGATAAGATTTCAATCGGCTGACTTGTTTTCGTCGCTTATTCTCTTAATTTCTTATTTTCGACACAACATTGCCATGAGTCATGAAAGGGCTCCTATGTGGCGCGTGCGTTTCACGCACTGATATACGCGATTATATAAGCGCGTATTAGTCTGGAGCGCGCGGACTATTTCTCATTTTCGACACAGCATTGCCATGAGTCGTGAAAGAACTCCTATGTGGCGCGTGCGATTATTTAATCGCCAATGATCTTTAGTTTCACTTCCTTAATACCTTATCCTTCCCCTTCCTAAACAAATCGCGTTTAATCTGACTTGATCAGAGTTCGGGCGGTTATTGCGTGTGTCGAGAGACTGGATCCTAGTTGTCCGATTATTTAGATTGTTAAGCATCGGCAATGAGTACCTTCTCTCTCGTCACATCTACCAGCCTTCTCGATAGCCCGGGTAACTTTTGATATCACATGTATGGTATTCGCCCTGGTGATTCGACCTGAACCGTTGGCTATGTGATGGTTGAGTCAATTTTAGACGTGATTTCTAAGAAACAAGAGACGTCGGATTCAAGTCAGTCGATTCGTCTTCTTCCACTTCGGTTCTAGCCTTTGCTTGAAGAGTTACCGTGTGTCCCGAAAAGCTCACCGACTCGGGTGCTGACTGAACCCTCAGAACTTGATATTTTCACGGGCAGCTAAACGCGGAGTGCCGTCAAGTATCGTGCGAAAGATTTTTATCGAAAGTTAGTTCGCGCGCGATTATAATAATTCGCGAGTCCTGTGCTACGAGGAGACGACCTAACATCCTGAGAAGAGGAGGAAGCCTAGGAGAGGCATCGGGCACCGGCGGAGCAACCTTGCAGTAAGGTATATATTTCTTATCAATATTAATTGTTTTCTCATTTATTTAGATCATTAAATTTAAATAATTTAAAATTTATAATTCCGAAAAGAAAAGAAAAAATGCCAAGTTTTATACGAATTTATTTTTATAAAGATTTTTTTCGAAAAATTATATATTTATTTTAATAAATATCTAATAGAAAAGTATTGCAGTTGGATATGTTTTCACAGATTTGTTGCCCTAAAATGGATAGATTTAAACAATTTGGGGTTGTATATTTAATCCTGGTATTACACTATTTATCGATTTACTGCAATGCACTTGTACAAACACAAAGAGCTCAGGAAATAGAATTCTTTGTATAAATGTTTGATTATTTTATATTGTTTTTTGTATTTTATTTGCGAGATGTATAAATTGCTCAAAAATTATGAAATAATCTCGCAAAAAAGTAAATTTTGTAGTAAATTCTAATTTAATACAAGTATTGTTAATATAAGTATTGTTTCATTTACATTATGTATTAAATTTCTTATTACTCATATTATTAGATTTGATGAATTATATAGATGTAATATCTAGCATTTAGAATTTATATCATAACAATTTACATAATATTGACATGCTGATTATGCGAGAAATTTATTATCTCGCTCGAATCTCACGTCATTCATTTTAAATCTTTTATGTCGTTCTCACCTGATTTAAGCACTGAGAAAAAGATTTCTTTAGATTTAACAATTTAGTTTCTGTTTGTTTGAATTTATTTATTTGTTTGAATTTATATAACTTAACATAATTTTATATTAAAATTCAATTTGTTGAATTAAGACGAGTTTGTTGTTTCATTAGAATATACTATGTTGTTTAATAGAAAACACCATTATTTAAAGGAAATAAAATCTATTTTTGAACTAAATAATACTTTGTTTGGCTAGATTAAATATTGTTTCAATGAAGAGATTCTTTAGTATTGTTAAAGCATAAATAAAAAGTGCATTATTATTTTGCAAACAATTTATTAAATAAATATTTTATTCGAAATAAAATTATTTATTATTTAAAAAATCGAGCAATCAAATTTGTAGAATTAATAATTGATTTGTTTGGACTATTTAAAAAAATAAATATCTTTGAATCTAATAAAACTTATTAAATCCAAAAAAATTATTTTCTCTGTGTGATGAAATTTAAATAAACGGTTTCGATTATACGTGAATAATACCGACAAATCATATGGGCCTTAGATTTTTTTTTTTCATTGAATATATTTTTCTTTTTATATATTAATTATGTAGATCACAATCGTTTCTATTTTTACTTTTCTGCTCTTTTTTTTATTATTGCAATATTTTTATTATTCAATTTTCTTAAATTCTTTTTATCAAATATAATCGAATTTCTTTATTTAAGAATATTTAATAAATTTATTTAAGAATATTTAATAAATTTTTTATTTAATAAATCAAAGATTAATTACGTTTGCTATGAAACGCGATATTAAATTAGCTTCCAAAAATTTCATGTAAATTTTATAAGATTTTATC